GGACGGCTCGGTTCGACGTGCCTTTGGAACCACTCCGAGGTGGCCAAAATGCCGTTTTTGACGGCCAGCGCGGCAGTTCGCGCACCAAGGGCGCCCCGGTTTCGGGGTGGTGGGCCAAATCCAAGCTGCACGCGCACCTCCGTTTTGACTGGCCAGCGCGGCACATCCTGCGTCTCGGACGGCTCGGTTTGACGTGCTTTTGGAACCACCCCGAGGTGGCAAAATGCCGTTTCGATTGGCCAGCGCGGCACTTTGTGCATCTCGGACGCCTCCGTTTCACGTGCTTTTGATCGAATCACGGCGCCCTTCGTGGACCCTAAACCCGAAATCTCAAGCCCTAAAACCGAAACCCCTCGAGCGCGTCGGTCTCACGCGCTTTCGGTCGAACATGCAGTTTTGAACGCCCAGCGCGGCACTTCCTGCACCTCGGGCGCCCCGGTTTCGGGTGCTGGGCCAAATCCAAGCCGCACGCGCACACCGTTTTGACCGGCCAGCCCCAAACCACAGACCCTAAACCCCGAACCCCCGACCCTAAACCCGAAACCCCCGCACCCTAAAACCGAAACCCTAAACCCTAAACCCTAAACCCGAAACCCTGAACCCTGAACCCTAAACCCTAAACCCTAAACCCTAAACCCCTAAACCCCCCCTAACCCCAAACCCTGACACCAAAACCCCGAACCAGAATCCGGAACCTTAAACCCTAAACCCTAAACCCTGAACCCTAAACCCCAGACCCCAAACCCTGAACCCTAAACCCTAAACCCTAACCCTGAACCCTAAACCCTGAACCCTCAGCCGTGAACACCAAACCCGAAACCCCAAAGCATGAAACCGAAACCCTGAACCCCAAAACCCTAAACCCGATTCCCTAAACCCGAAACCCCAAACCCTGGAACCGAAGCCCCGGACCCTAAGACCGAAACCCTAAACCCGAAAGCCCTAAACCGTGAACCCTCAACCTTGAACCCGAATCCTAAACCCTGAACCCTAAACCCTAAACCCTAAACCCAAGACCCGAAACCCTAAACCCTAAGTGCTGCCTCACCGGAGGTGCGGTAACCTTATTTCCGGTTGTGTTTTATGTTTGTTTTCATGTGGGAAAACAAACTCGTTTCATGATTCCTTTCTTTTGGGAAAACTCTTTGCATGATTTGTGTGTTTTGCGGAAGCTCAGCATGTGCATGGCTTCGTAAATCCACAGATTGTGGCTCGATTGGAGCCGCGTCAGATTTCTTTTTCAGAGGCCGTACGAGTGAGGTTCCGGGCTCCCAATCTAGACGTCTAGTTGGGGTACTGACTGCTCCATAAGCGAATGGTCAGCATGGCCTCGCGTGACTCGTGCGACGGCTCGTCTGATGCCTCGAGTACAGAGCTCGTTGTCTGTGAGCCTCCGACTCAGGCGATCTGCGAGGCTGAGGCGGCTGGACGAGCCATGGCTCTTGAAATCCAGGCTCGGGAGCGGATGGCTCCTCCTTTGTCTGGGGAGGCTGGTGTCTGGAGAGACGGTACATTGCAGTGCACTGTCTCTTGGGCGAGTGACCTGTCTCTGACTTCTTTGCTCAACTCTGCAGCATCGACTTGCGAAGAAGCCGACGGAAGCTGGACAGCATGGCATGTCACAGGGATTTCTGTGCAGTTGCGCTGTGGTGGCCAGAGGAGTCATCATGCTGAGAGTCTCGAGGCCTTTGCTCTCCGGAATTATCGCCGAACTCTTCGCTTGGTCTTGCAGGGCAGGTTCACTCGCAGTTTTGCTTCTTCCTGGCGCAGGCATCGTGATGCATAGTGACTGCCTGTCGGCTTAAGACCCCAGCTGCCCGATGTTTCAACATTGCCACTTGCCCCGGCCACGCCTGAGAGTGTTCTGCCTGGCAATCGGCTGCTTGAGCTCTTGCCTTAGGTCGACTGTATTTGCACAGGATCGCGTCTACAGTGATTTCTTTTGCATACACAACAGTCTTCCGCGATTTTGGCATTTTGCCCAGTTCACTGGGGCTAGCCTCAGGAACTCTTTTGGTGTGCTCTGCTGCTGTAGGTCGTGACAGGGCACGCAGTTTTGGCGCCGCCTACAAGGTGCCTAGACTTCCCAGTGCTGCTCCTGGGGTTTCGAGCATCTGCATTCGCCGCTGACAGCAAAATCGGGGCTCTGGTGATGCAAGGGTTCTGTCACAGCGTCCCAAGGCTAAGTCAGTTGCATGCAGTCCTTTCTGCACATTTGACTACTTGTGTGTCAACTGCTGTTGCAGCAGCCGGTGCCGCAGTCCTGTGCTCTGCCCGCTTCTTGCATCTTTGTGGGTATCATGCATTCCGAACTTCAGGCAGCGCTTTCCGTGATTGCGCGCCTTCAAGGTGTGACCGCATTGCTCAGGGCATGGGTGCAGACTCTGCAGGGACGGCTCGATGCGGTCTTCATACAGCTCTGGCAGTTGGCTTCCTTGTGAGCGGGTTTAGCTGATCTGTCTCAGCAGCAGACAAACATTTTCTTCAATCTGAACCACCGGGTTCAGACTCTTGAAGATGACACTGAATCTGCTTTGGAAAATCATGCCGAGGGTCTTCGTGATCTGCATCGTGAACTCTTGAACAATCGCCAGATGATGTTGTGTCTTGGGCTCCTGGGCCTTCAGCTCATGCGATGTTTTTGGCACTACGTCTGTGCACATCGTGAAAGCTGCTGCACTGATAGCGGCATTTCTTCCAAGTGTCACTGCAGCTAAGTGTTGCCGCTGGGCTTCGCCTGGCTTTATGCCTGTATGTTAGCCGAACAGGGATGCCTTTCAAGCGTTTCTCTGTCAGGACAGCCAGCTTTATGCCGGCTGCAATCATGAGACCACTCTCTGCAAATGCTGCATGTTGCGCTGCGTGTTCAATCTGCATGCTTTTTCCCATGGGTTTAAGCACGGCTACTGACCCCTGTTGCCAGCTTGAGTGTTGCCTGTTTTCAGGTATTTCTCAGGCCTGCGTGCATGACCTCAGCAGGCTGTTTCCATCCAGTCTGTGTGCCTGCAGCAGCTGCTGGCTTTGTGTGCAGTGCCACTCCCTCAGCTTTTCCATCAATTTCAGAACATGGAGGCGCTGGAAGCTTCGCAGCGTGCCTTTCTTCTTGATCTCCAGGAAGTCCTTCACCAGGGGCGGCGCTACGCGCGGATTCGAGCTAATGGTGCTGAGCCTGCCCGCTCGCGCTCCAGGTCTCCTCGTCGAAGCCCGAGCCCAGCTGTTACCTCCACGACTACACGTGTGCGTGTGCTCGAGTGTGATGTTGCGTCAGCTTTGCATCGTCTCGAACGCTTGTGCCTCGGTGCGACTGCGCTTATGCACACGCTTCACCAGGAGCCAGACTACTCTTCGCCGTTCAGTGCCATTACTGATTGGATTGGTCAGGTGCGCCAGGAACTTGCATCACTGCAGGTCCATGTCAGGGAGCTACAGCTGCGCGCGGATGCCTCGGAG